CTAGTCATTATACGTAGCACTGTAAATAGTCTAATGATAGCAGCTGATTTGGGTGATGATGCTTCTTTGGTGAAATACAGTAATCCTGATAGGCTGCCTCTAGACCCTATCCTAAATAATGCATTATAATTTTTGATGGGGTATTCAAGGAGTGTAAATAAACTTTGTGGGCATTTTGGCATACCAAAGAATACTACCTAATTTCAATGTTATTATCAATTGATGTCAGTTTCATGATGCCGTAAATCGAAAGAATTTTTTTTTTCGAAATTTTAGTGGAGACAATATTTACTTCTTCAAGCACATAAAATGATATCGTTTTATTTCAATGATCTACATAACTATTGCCTTCTGTCATGTGGGTGTTCGCATTTGGTAGAGGTGATGTCTTTACATCAATCACTTGAGTGTCAACAAAGTTTATGAATTCATATTGTGTAACAAATAAATTCAGTGCACATTGAACTTTAATTAAACAATTAAACCTGGTTTCAATCAGACTATTACTATATTATTATTTATGACTAAATTTCATTTTTATATAATATAGTTTTCACGCCATCTATTATATATTCGGAACATTTCTGTCTTAAAATGAACTTAACAAAATGAGCTGAGAGAGTTCCAAACGCTCGATTTTATTGAATTTTTTTCAATCAAGGAAAAAACTTAATAGAAAAAGACTTGTGTGAAGTCACATTAATTTCTAATACTTTGAATAGCAATGCAAGTGACATTGTCACATATTAATGTAAAGAAAGAAAATATGAGTGAAACAAGAGTTGGTAGGATGGATTTATCCACTAGCAGGTATGTTATCTGACATTATGAAACCGGACTTACTAATTATGCTCTGCCTATTCTTCGGGAGATCGCGGTTTCGAACGCTGGTCGAGTTATACCAAACACTTTTAAAAATGGCACTAACACCTACCTCGCTAGGCACTCAACATTAAGAGGTTAGTGTTAGGACTGGTCGGCCTGGTTTCAGGATAATATGACTGGATGGGACATCATGCTACATATGATGTCACAGTGCTAGATATCTTTACAAACTACCACGCTGCAAAATCGTAGCCAGACGACCGAAAAATTATTAAAGCTACATCACACACACACACACACACACACACACACACACACACACACACACACACACACACATTCTCTTTGAAGTTATTTCCCTTCACTGTTTTGCTTCACTTAAATGATATCAGTAAATGTTATGTGATATAATATACTCTTAAATGTGTGCTAATTTCTAAAGACAAAAATTATGTTTTATTATCCCATAGTCATGTCATAAATTAAATATCTAACGAACGGTCAGGTAGGTTATATTTAATGGAAGAGAAATTTCAGTTATCTCTCTGGCACGGTGCCCCAGGCTGTTGATATTGTTACTATTAATACCGACTCCGACTCAAGAGATGACAACTCTTTCAAAGGGAGATAATTTCGAATTGAAACTGATACATCTGAAGAAAAATTACTGGAAAAAATATCATTATTGTTAGAACTAGATCATACTAGTGAGATAGACAGAAGTATCACTGGTTAAAAATACAAAAATATCACCAAACTGATATATAGAAATATGATTACATGCAACTAAGACTATTAAACATCCCAAGTCAGACACGTTCAAATGCCACTAGTTCAAAATATAAAAATACCACTATCGATAAATGTAGAAAATTGTACTATGAATACTCTGATGACAATAGGTAAAATTGCCATTAAATAATTAAAACTGCGTTGGTAATTAAAGTTTAAAACTGAGAATTTTGCTCTAACATATGCTCAGCAGTCAGATATTGGCAATATTTATTTGAAACAAAATGGTATCAAGATAAGATGGTTTTACGTATTTGAGAGTTATGATAGATTATTTGAGGCCCTAACTGTCCACGTTTGGTGACAACTGTTGGATTAACTGTTATCTGTTTGTTTGCAGGGCGGCGTTTATGTTTATACAAGATTGGAATATGAAAAGATAGCGGGAGGACAAAGTGGGCTTAATCTAATTTTTATCAGGCATTTCAACACCTGGAATCAGTGGAGAATATTACATTGCAGCTGAAATTTTCTGCATATTGATTACCTGGTCAGTGGTTATTACAACCTAATTTATGCGACAGAGAAGAAACAAAGATACACTAATACGTCCAGCATAGGTACCTACTGCATGTACGTTATAACAATAATTAAAGAAAATTATATATATTCCGTTGGTTTGAAAAATTCATGAAAACGGATGGTCAGTAAATCTTTTTAGAAACGTCGCATTCCATACAATAATTTTTAAATTCTCTTATTTTTGATAAACTTTTCTTTGCTCGTCTGTCCCATAACATTATTTGATTTCCTGTCTTATTGTTCGAATCTGTTTGACTAATAATGTGCATCCTTGATTTGTTAGTTAGGTAGGTTGGTAGGTAGGCTGCTAAATATGTAGGCTTGAATGGATATATATATATATATATATATATATATATATATATATATATATATATATATATATATATATATATATATATATATATATATATATATATATGAGAGATTGGCGGCGTGCAAAACACACCAACCTCTTTCACTACGGTTCGTTGCTAGGGAATGACCTCCGCGGTGTGATTTACCAAGTGTGGATAGATAGAAAGAAGGAAGCAGATCACTGAACAAGTATATTGAGGAAATAAACACTACGAGCCCCCTTTCAATGAACAAATATAAAATTGAATCAGATTATAAACAGAATTTAAAATGAAAAGAAATCAATGACTTAGCTACAAAGAAGGAAAGAATGGTACTAACATGTACTTAAATAAAACACAATACAAATTTCTTTAAATATAAAATTACTTTCACGTTAAATTGCTATCATCATTGCCAGTGGGATGTGACCTTTGAGTGTAACGATGAGAGACTTCATCACCTAATTTATGCAGACATCAAGACTTCCGTTCGTCCCTGCTTGTCGATCTTTGTCTAGCTTTTCGTCTTAGACTCTTGTCCGTCGAACTCTGACTTAACACTCGTCTCTGGACTTAGATTTCTGCGTAGATCTTGTTCTCGTCCTATGATTGTTCAGGGATTCCTCATGTAAATCCAGGAAAGCTGTTTCCTTTTTAAATAAAAATGTCTCGCAATAGACAATAGGTCACATTCCCAAGTATATCTGTATTTTACGTTAATTCGGCTCAGAAACAAAAGGCATTAATTCTGCCGCAGTAACTTCTGTTAGCTAACTGTTATGTTTACATAAACGGTCGATGCTTGTTCTGACCTTAATTCGGGTCACGTTAGGGATGGTCAATTAAATTCAACTCAGCCGTATGAACCCGTATGTAACTCCCACTCGACTTCTTGCTCTGTTAAGTTACATATGGCTTAGACCTCCAGATCTAACTATTTTAAAATAGTTTACTCGACCAATTAAATATTACAAACTATCATATAGATATACACTTAAGTGATCAATTAAATATTACAAACTAGTATATGGTATACATGTAATGTTAGGTCATACTCATTCTAAACAGAGTTAATCCATAAAACTATGAAATATTACCCATCATTCCTTAAATCATTCATGAAAATTCATAATCACTCATATATATTAAAGATTCAATTACATGCAATCTTTTCAACTAATCTAATGAAATTTTAATTACATTCACTCTTGCCAATTCTCCAAATGAATTGATAATTAGAAAATCAAAGAATAAAATGCCATGACTAGCATTTCACTAAAATCCTGCAAAATGAAATAATACATACATACATCATATCAAGAATACATTTGCAAAATAGATCAACAAATGAAATAACATATTAGAATCGGGAAACTAAGATTGCGTACCTTTTTGCCGTTTTTTATGTTTCCACGAACCTCACGTATAGGCCGTCTCCTAACTGAGAGAACTATCCGGCCCCTTACTCAATACGAAAAACGTACTTTTTACGAATTTCGGAGTTGTACTAACTTTCCTTGCGAAAGATCTAAGACTAAAGAATTTCCCTAAAGTGAAACCTTTAATTTCTTACATAGTTACGCCCATAAATCCATATTAACCAATCGGAATAGCCTATTTCCTAAACCTGTTCGTAGAATTTTTGGATTGACCAGAAAACTAAACAACTACTCATGCCGTACTTAATCGTTTACTTTGAGCTATCATCTATAGCCAGATGCCGCCTTTAACCCTGCCGATTTTGGGGAAAGGTCTTATGTCATTCTCTTGTACCATAGCATCTGACTCGGTCATGTTACTTCGGCCAGAACGAATTCCCTTTTGACGTTCCGAGATGAAATGGAAATAATCACCTAACTATCTCTAGCCCTTTCTACTTCAATTAAGTTGACTTTGATACAATTCCTTTAAACAAAGCTTCTAAGATTTTCAAAATTCGACACACACACACACACACACATATATATATATATGTGTATGTATGTATGTATGTATGTATGTATGTATGTATGTATGTATGTATGTATGTATGTATGTATGTATGTATGTATGTATGTATGTATGTATGTATGTATGTATGTATGTATGTATGTGTTGCGGAACGGATGCAGTGTGAAAAATTTTGTTGTTGTTGGTGTTGTTGTTGTTGTTCTTGTTGTTCTTTTGGGTTTAACGCCATTTTCAGCATAAGATGATACATTGCGGCTAGTATAACTGGTGGAAGAAAAACCATGAAAACTCCTGCCAGGAATCACCTACCTACTAGAAGCTGCTGGCAAACTTTTAACACGTATCCATGTTACCCTGAAACTCGAACCTATACAGACAGAGTTTATTTGGCAGTGATCCGGAACGGTGAGTGCTTTATACCACTCGGCCATTCAGTGCCCCGAAACGTTTTGCAAAGGTTTTGGCTACAGCTTTATTTTTCTTAAAAACATATTCTAAAACTGGATGTATTCTGTTCAGCCATGGTAAATCCAATCAATGCAATCACAATTCATTCGACGACATGTATGGATCGCTTCAGTGGTTTAAGTGGTTAGAGCGTCCGCCTCAGATGCGGGATGTCGCCGGTTTGAGTCCCGACCGAGTCATTCCCAAAAATTATAAAAATTATACTAGCAGCTGTCTCACTTGGAGCTTAGCATTAAGAGGGTTAGTGTTAGGACTGGTCGGCATGGTATCAGGATAATGTGACTGGGTGGGATAAAATTGTTTGTGACTTGATGATACAGTGCTAGACATCTTTATAAATTGCCATACTCTAGACGTCGTAGCGATATAACTGAAAAATTGGTAAAGCGACTTTGAAAATCCAAATCACACACACGATGTGTATCTTTAACCTATTAAAATTGAGCTTAAGGCTAAGAAAGTAGTTTGCCTTAAATAATCGTTAAAGATTGTATTAGCTGATATTTCCTTCATCTAACGAAGTATTCATTTTACACTCAATTTGTCTAGTTAATAAGTAAAGATGTGTATTGTAATAAAATTAAGGAGATGCGCATTTAGTTTAAGCAATTTGTAGGTTTGTGTGATTACATGTTTGATTATTGGAATTTGGTGTAGTGGGAAATATTCCTTAGCACGAAATAATTAGTCAATTATTAGGAGCAAACGTCACGGAGAGAAAGTGTTAGTGAGTTTCTGAGATGCCATGGCCAATGAGTAGCGAACTCAGACCTAATCCGCATGACTGTCACTGTCGTGATATAGCAGTATTTATGGTAGGAAACCTGTAAATTACACAATGGGATAAATGAGAAAGGACTCGGAAGATACCGTTTATGTTGCCATAGTGGCAAATGTGATGTAGGTTTACTGGTGTGACGTGCCTTGAAACGGTAGTTCGACTGGCCTAAGGTGGGCGGTTAAAATAGTCTTCAGTGTTAGGGATAGTTGTACAGTTTCTATGGTGTGAATTACTAGCGGAACGGAAAGTTAATGTAGAGAGACTGTGAGGATGTGCGGTTGATGGCTAATTGGCAAGTTGTAAATAATGTAGTCTTGTATTAATTTTTGTAAAATTTATGTATAGAATGGACAGGTCAGGCTTTCCAACTTACAACTGAAGTTGCATAGAAGTCTTTGGAAATATGGGGTAAACATATGACTTCTAGCGGGATTCGAGCCCAAGGTTTTGACACCGCTCGGTCAAGCAAAAGACCCCTGGCTTGTAACAGTATTATATCACACTAGCGCTCGGACATACACAAGACCACATGCACAAAATAGGTGCGTTAAGTTCTGGATAATACATGTCATTTGCTTATATTCCCTAATTGATTATGAGGATAGTTTAAAATTTTCATTATGTAACAAAGACGACTATTTCATTCTGCACTACACTCAGTGGCGTCACTAGGGTTGGTGTCACATAGTGCGGTAACTCATGGGTATAACGGTACCATTTGTACAACCCCAAGTGGGCGGATCTTAAGGTGTAGGGAACATTGCATTCAGAAATAAACAACAAAACTAGCTGTGATTGGTGCATTATGTAAGAGTTGTACTTTCTGTTAGGCTTTAAAAAAAGTTGAGCCTCTTGGCAACATGTGAAATTATGTTAATTCATATCTAGATCACATTTTGTATTTTTTAGGATTTTTTTAAAATGTGGTACACATGACTGAAAATGTGTCTGGTGTAACTAGATAACTCTTACCCCTGTCTAGTTCCAGCAGAGTTATCTCTTTTAAATGCAATGGAGTACCTATTTTCGATGTTATCAAATTAACAATCTAACATTGTTCTCTGTGACAGTGTGTGACATGCATGCTGAGGTAGGATAGAAAGTATATTTATTTCGCAAAACTTTAGCATTGCGGTCTATGGAAAAACAATTGGTACCGTGATACCCATGGTATGACCCCACGAACCTCAAAAATGCAACAAAATTTTTTATAGACAGTCATTTTGGTTTCACCGCCTCTGATGGTGTCTAACTTGAGAGTGATTACTAAAATTGTTCAGACCGCTGATACATCTGCTACATCATCTGATACAGCGACAGTACTATGTGTGTTTCGTTTGTTTAATGTTGACAGCGACGAATAGTAATTGAGAAAATCTGTGAGTAGTGAAACATGCTGAAATGAGAGAGAGAGAGAGAGAGAGAGAGAGAGAGAGAGAGAGAGAGAGAGAGAGAGAGAGAGAGAGAGAGAGAGAGAGAGAGAGATGTTCTCAGTCCAGAATAACCCCTGAATTTTAATAAGAATATTTTGTTTTCAAGCAAGGTGTGCGCCTTTTAGTTTGTTAAACCAATAAATTAAATGGTCAGTAAGTTTTTCTTAAAACTTGACGGCGAAGAGTTCCATTTTGAACGAAACATTGTCAAGGAGCTGGTAGTGAGTTCCAAAGAAGGATTGAACTTGGAAAGTGCTGTTTTTTCAAACTGTCTCCAGAGGTTATATGTTCCTTTAATTTTTGTCTAGGAAGATGCATAAGTGAGTCATTTTGAGGCTTAGATCTTTACAACGTCGTTGATGGCAATGTCACTATTATTGATATTGATTGGGTGCCCGCGTATCAGTAGGCATTATTTGTTTTTACCTCTTCTCTAAACGTTGTTTAGTTGCTCTTGTTTTAACACTTGAATTGTCACTATAGAATCAGCTGTGTTATGTTTGCTAAATAAAACAAAACATGGTTCGGTCTAACTACTTTAATGGCTAGAATACAACTAATTTAAAACAGTCAAAACACGAACGCAAATTTCTCACAATAATCTTATCATAAAGCATATAGGGTTACAACTGAGCGAGAGCCTGGAGATGACCTTAGGTGACCTCTAACTGTCAGACCATTTGTAGCAGCAGAATGTTAATACCGTATATTACCACCCCACCCCAATGAATTTTGTTCTTTTCTTTTTAATTCACATATTCATTTCTCCTTTTCTTTTTAATAAACTTTTAAATGTAATCAAACTTTACAAAGTTCTATTTTGCACATGAATATATATTCCAAAAAGTTTCTGGTGAGTTATAAAATATCTACTAATTGTAGTTAAAATTAAGTTCTAGCCATATGTCATTCACAATCATTCTTGCACTCATGAAAACAAATATGGTGATATAATGGCATTAACACTAAAATCTATAGTCCTAATATTGTTTCTTCAATCCACTTGTTATCACTGCATATAAACTATTTCCCTTAAACACTTTCAATTTCTAATATCCACAAGACAGAAAAAAGCCATTCCTTGCTCGAATCTCTTGTTTCTGGTTTGGCTCATTGATGATTAATGGCATCTTGTCATTCAGTTCAGTGACCTCCTTGTTAGTATCTTCATATGTATCATATATATATATATATATATATATATATATATATATATATATATATATATATATATATATATATATATATTTATATATATATATATATATATATATATATATATATATGGTAATTTCTCTTTTGTTTGTAACATATGTCTTCGGTTTCTCCAGTATATAGCACCATCTTGGGTTTTCACATCATACGACCTTGAAGTGATATTTTTTCGACGACTACAGCTTGTTCCCAAAAATCTTGTCTTCTGATTCTAACCTTGTCTCTCCAGAAGTCAGATTTGGAAGCTCTTTACCTCTTCTGTCATACCGTTTCTTTTGTTGATTTTTCTTTTCAACCAGTTCCACTTTAGGTTTCATTCTTTTACAACTTGTGGATGTAACTGTATTTTAGTAGTACGTAAAGTCGATCGAAGTCTTCGATCCGTCCGTAATGGTGCCGGAGATCCTATATCATCAGTTGATGTATTTCGATACTGCAATATCGATCAATATGGATCTTTTCCATCTTTCTTTGCTCTATTGAGAATTCCTTGGACAGTTTCAACGGTTCTTTCTGCTAAACCATTATACTGTAGATATTTGGGACTATACGTAGTGTGTTTGAATCCCCAGGCTTTTGCAAACTGACCATATTCTTTTGAGGAGAACTGTGGTCCATTATCACTCTTTACTTCTGGTAGTATTCCATGTCTTGCAAAAAACTGACTCTGTGTGTGTGTGTGTGTGTGTGTGTGTGTGTGTGTGTGTGTGTGTGTGTGTGTGTGTACATGCTCGTGTATTTTCCAACTTGGCAACTTCAAAATATCTGGAGCAATAGTCTACTATCAAGACATAGTTGTAATTATTCTACATAAATAAATCTGTTCCAACCAATTTCCATGGGTCAATAGGTTGTGTAGAGAACAGTTATTCTTTCTAATTTGACATTCTGTATTCCTGGCAAGTAGAACAATTTAATACTGTGTCTGCAATATGCGCATTCATGCCAGGCTAATACATAATGTCTCTTGCTCTTTGCTTTATCTCCTCAATGACCATATGACTTTTGTTTAAATCTTTTAGCATTTCTTTCAGAAGAGCATCTGGTATTATAATCTTCTCTCCTTTTAGAACTAGTCCGTCTATTTCTGAAAGTTCATCTCTGCAGTTCCTGAAATTTCTGATCTAAAATGGTACAAGATGTTTATCAATTGGCCATCCCTTTTTTTTCTCGTAATTTGTTTATTTTATCATAATGTTTAGTTCTATTTTTTATTGCTTCTAACTGTGTATCTGCAGTCTGTATATTTGACATGATCATGTGCACATAGCACTCGATTTCACTATCCATGTTCATCTCAGATGTGTTCGTCTGTCTGTATCCTCTCGAAATATATCTGCTACAATTAACTCTTTTCCTGGACAATACGTTAAGTCAAAACTATACTTTTGCATTAAAACCATTCTGTGAAATCTAGGCGGTGCGGCAGGATTCTTGAGGATTGATTCCAGAGGTTTATGGTCCAATTCAACTGGTACTTGACAACCATAAGTCTATTGATTAAATCTTTCAAGACCAAATAACACAGCAAGCAGTTCTTTTTCGATCTGTGCATATCTTTTTTTCTGCATTTGTCAAAGATCTTGGTGCAAATGCTATGTGTTTGCCTGACTGCATTAGCACTGCTCCAAGTCCTGATTTTGATGCATCAGAACTAACAATGACAGGCTTCTTAACATTGAAGCATTTCAACACAGGTTCTTTGCTTAATATCTTTTTGATTTCTTCAAATGCATGCTTCTGAGCAGTT